AAGATGTATTAACCAGTGTAATGTACAACATGCGTTAACCAGTGTACTCTACAACATGCTTTAACCAGTGTATTCTACAGTATGTATTATCTAGTGTAATGTACAAGATGTATTAACAAGTATACTCTACAACATGCATTAACCAGTGTAATGTACAACATGTTAACCAGTGTATTCTACAGTATGTATTGTCTAGTGTAATGTACAAGATGTATTAACAAGTGTACTCTACAACATGTATTAACAAGTGTACTCTACAACATGTATTAACAAGTGTACTCTACAACATGTATTAACAAGTGTACTCTACAACATGTGTTAACTAGTGTACTCTACAACATGTGTTAACCAGTGTATTCTACAGTATGTATTATCTAGTGTAATGTACAAGATGTATTAACAAATGTACTCTACAACATGTGTTAACCAGTGTACTCTACAACATGCGTTAACCAGTGTACTCTACAACATGCGTTAACCAGTTTACTCTACAACATGCGTTAACCAGTGTACTCTACAACATGCGTTAACCAGTGTACTCTACAACATACGTTAACCAGTGTACTCTACAACATGCGTTAACCAGTGTACTCTATAACATGCGTTAACCAGTGTACTCTACAACATACGTTAACCAGTGTACTCTACAACATGCGTTAACCAGTGTACTCTACAACATACGTTAACCAGTGTACTCTACAACATGTATTATCTAGTGTAATCTACTGCATTTATAACAGTTTTCCAAGACTGTAATGGAAAGCATGCAAGGAATAGTATGTATATATTAGAGATATAGATGTCGTTTGTTAAGAACCTTTTTACTCTATTGTAACAATGTTGTTGAGCTTGAGACAAAGTCTATTCAATGTTAGGTATAAATGTTGTATAATCCTGTTTAGTGATATTGCAGAAATGCTTTACTATGTTTTGGGTGTATATTTATGACTTGATGATATAAATAAGTCTGTCTGATTTCATTGCCGTTTACGATCTCATCATGTTAATAACTTACTTTAAACTGTCTGATTTGCCAAAAAGAATCACAAATTTTTGGAAGTTGTAGAATTTTGAACAAATATGCAAGAAAAGAAACGTGTCCTTTAACATTAGTATTTTGTGATTCATTATTATTTTACTTATATCAAGTTCTACTTACTTTATACTAGAGAGAGCTATATGTTGATCTTTATGCACATCTGATCTTAAGAGCACTTAAATACAAAACATTGGGTTTTAATGTAATGCATACTTCTGATAATTACAATAGTTATTATTTTTGCTACAAAGCAATGTGTTGTAGGTATTAAAAATAAATTGTACTTTGATTTCTGTAAATAGAGGTGTGAAGCATAACTTCATATACTTTCTTAAGAAGCTTTGAGCATGTGTTTTTTTGTTTTATTAACTCTTCTCCTGGGGAACGTTTTAGCATTTTCAATAAGAGGAAACAAATTGCTCTAACTTATATTTGTAGGTGATTGGTATTGGAAAATTTCGAATATCTCCTGAACTGTGAATAAATCAGAATGATGATGTTTATTTTACACTATTTATATTTCATGCTCACTGGGATGGGCATATAAATTAGAAACTGTCACAAAAATTCTTAATTTTATTCCTATAAATGCTACTTTTAGATTCAATCACAAATATTCTAACTTAAAGTCTTAATGGAAGGGTAAAACAACTAAAGCAGAAATAGTATACAGTAAAGTACTTTAACCCTGTATACATGGGTGGGGGTCAAAGTGTGCATGACACAACCTTTTTTTATAGTACACTTCAACTTGGTATTATGTATATGATGTCAGAGTTATCAACTCTTCATTTTACACTAAATTACTGATGAAGCGAAAGTTTCAGGCAGAGGAGTAGAAACACATTAGGGTGGTCCTTAAATGGTATAAAATTTAAAGTTTAGAACTTGTAAACTCTCATCATTCAGATTTGTTTGACTGTATAAGAAAACTTAGCAGGCAAAATTGTAAGCATGTTATGGAATATTTAGTGGTTGCTCAAGGCATCTAAAAAAATTGAGAGCATTTTTTTGTCTTAAAATCTGGTAGGGACTTTTGTTGAACTTTGTTGGTGTTGATTTTTATCAGCTTTGCTGGATATTGGGTACCTTCATCAAGTTCATGTTCATTCATTGCTTTTATCATGGCTCTCTTTGTGTCTGACAATACATTTGGGTTTAAAAAAGCCAAGGCTATCAACACTTCACTAAGATACTACAAATGCCCAACAAATTTCTTTGAAGATGATTTGGATATGGCTGCGTTGATTTCTTCATATTACTGTAGACTCTGAAGAAATGTCAGTTTGAGGAGCAGAAATTACATCAGGGGCAATGAACCAAGCCCTAATGTAAAGTTGGATTAAGAATATGCAGACATCACAAATTCCTCTGCTTTCATGTGCAGTCAGTCTAAACTGATCACGGAACATGTAGATTTTGAGCACATACAAGCACATACATACAGTGAATTCCCAGTGCTGCTGGAACCACTTGAAGATTGCAACATCTGGTCATGAGGTCTGTCCCATACAGGAATTGAACACACATGAAAGAATTAGTTCAAGTATGTGATGTCGACATGTGAAATACAGTAGATTTCTATCTAATTTTGCTTCAAGTAATGCACATATGCCATTTTCTTGACTAGTATTTGTGATTGTTGTAATCAAAACATACTGCCTTAATGAGATTCTGTACTCCCCAGTCTTCTAGTAGCCTGGTGAAAGCAGCAGCTTGAGCCTTGCTGGTCCCAGACACGATAACTGGCAAGTGGTCTACTTGTTCTTTTCCAGTGAGGTCACTGAGAAATTTTCCATCCCAATAAACAACTAGGCTGTGTTTGGTTTTAACAATTGCATCAGATTTTTGAAAATGTCCTGACAAAGATTACACTGTGTTCATCAGATTGGTGAACGATTAATTGTCAAATCTTGAACGTCATGACCAAGGCACTTGGCAGTGGCAATAAGCATGAATGTAGCAGCCAACTCAGGGTCTGTGATACTTTTTCTTGCACTCTTTTTAGGCCAAGAAGATGATGGTTCTTGTATCATTCTGTTCCTTTCTGCAAAGCCGTCATCTGTATCATCTTTCTCATTACTGTCAGCACTGTCATTGCTCCAAACAACTCTCTCATTCGGTCTTTTTTTCTTCTTGTTCTGCTTGTTGCCATCTCCTTAATTAATCATTCTTTCCTTTCTTTGCTCTCAATTCCTTAATAGTAAGTACGTTGTCTACTGAGCCCATACATCCCTGATGTCCTTTCTGTGTACGAAGGCATCTTGATGAGCAATATCAAACAGATCATCTAGTTGGTCAGTAAAAACTGCTTCATTGGCTCTCTGCTTTTCTAGTGGAATCTTTCTTTAGCTTTCCCTAATTTTCAAAAAGTGTTTCAAGCTGTTTGATAGCATGCTGTTCAGGTCATATTGGAATTCTAACTTTGTTCCAAAATAATGAAACTTCTCTGATGACAGCTGTTACTCTTTCACAGATTGTTTTTTTTTCAAAGTCTTGTGATGATGAAAAAAACACACACAAAACCTGGTTTTTGAAGGTAATTTACTTCCTGTTACTTCTGGTTCTTAGTAACCACAACAAAGCCTTGCTTCTAGTTGCTGCTGCCATTGCCATTTTCATCAAAAAATTATTGCCAGCAAAGTAGTTTTATCTGGTTTTTCAAGATTTATTTATCCTATAGTATAACTCACAATTTATATCTCGTTTTGTTTTCTCAAATTCTATTGAATCTAATTTGCTCAAGTGTTAACTCCTTGTATATATATTGTTCATATGACTTTCTAGAATGTAATTATTCTACAGTATTACAGAATATTATGGAACACTTCAGAACAATAAATAATATTGTGGAACTGAATGAACCATTCTAGAAAAGTAGAGAATAGCAAAGAATATTATAGATCTTTAAAGAATGTTCTGGAAAATTCTAGATTGTATTAAGATATAATACAAAATCACTAACAATTTATATACATAATGTATTTTACCTTGAATAATTATTTACCTGTTAGCAATCCGTGAATATATGCGACAAGCCTTCAGTTTTATTTGTAAAGTACAATGTATCAGACAATACTAGATCCCCTACATAAAAGAACAATTCACAACATACTCAGTAATACTGTCATATTACTGTGTATATGACTAATTTTTAACCATACAAGTATTCTATCTTACATTGCAGGTTGTGTGTAAACAGATAATGAACAATGAATGAAAAGTATATTAAACAAATATGTGGTTTTTATTTTAAACTTCTAGATTATTGAGCAACCTCTAAATTGTGATAAACATAATTGAAATTTTGCCCAAACGTTCAATTTACTTATTGGAACATGTTAGTAGGGTGAGAGTATAGAAAATAAAAAGTTGTGAAATAAGGACCACCCTAATATACAGGGATTATGAGAAACTAAATATGCATTTTAGAGGTGCTAGCAGTTCTTTAATTACAACATGGAATCTGTATGATGGACATAAGTATTTTTCACATGAACATCACCTTACATTCCAACTTGTCAGACTGATGTTGTCAATTTACAGACTTATTTTGAATACAAATACTTTTTTTTGTAACACATTGGATTTTTGTATACAATAGATTTTTTCATTTAACTAAAAGCTTGCCATATTTCATATAGATATACGTAATAAATTTGGAATTATTTCATTTAATAGCGTAACTAGCTGTTCCTTATGGTTTTTGTATTGTTGAGTGTGATAAAAAGTTCATAAACTGTCTTGTACATGTTTTGGTAAAAATCAGCTTGACACATTTAAGTATATGTTAATGGAATAAGGCAAAGGTATATTCAAAAAAGGAACTAAGAAGTTAGTAGTTTACTCATCATTATTGTGTGTAAATTATTAAGAATAGTGAATTATTATTTATACAATAATGAGTTTGAGTGCTACCAAAGCAATTTTTATAGCATCTTTGTTTCATGTTTTTAGGAGAAATTATGAGCAGAGCAGCTAAGGACTTTGCTGAAGATCCATATTCTTCAGTGAAAAGAGGAAACATGGTTCGAGGTGCAAGAAATCTCTTGTCAGCTGTCACACGACTACTGATTTTAGCAGATATGGTAGATGTTCACAGACTATTGAAATCTCTGAAGACGGTAAGATTATCAGATCTACTGTAACATAAATTGATATTCAACTTTTAAGTAATTAAAATTTTTAGTAGTTAAAGAAACACTTTTTACTTGTACAAGACATCAATATGTCTTCTTAAGTGCACTTTGCTTCATTACTTTATGACAGGCTAAGGTCTAATTGCAGACAGTCTGTTGATTTTAGAATAAACTTATAGACTTTTCAAAGTTTATACAGTGGTAAGTGTTTCTATTAACCACTCAGTAGACTGGCCTTTCACTTTTAACATCTCAAAGTACAAAGTCATAAATACAAAAGTGAAAATTGACCTTAACATTACTTCATCACTGTTGTGAAGGTTGATTTTGCACATCTATTTTTTTTTTGAAACTTGCCATCTAATTATCTAAAAATAACTTATAGAAATTAAAACGTTTTTCACAGTATCCTTAACTTTTTATAAGATGAGAATGTAATATAAGATATAATGTTTTTATTTTTGAAAGCAGACAATCTTCAGTTTGAACTGTTAAATTATAAAATGGAAGTTGAGAAACCCAGGCAAATAACATGATGTACTTGTTTCATGAAAAATGTGTTCACCAACAGTATATAGTGCTTGTAGTTTAATTATAGTTTAGACATCTAGCTTTTTTTTTTTTTCTATATAGACATATCAGAATAAAGTGGTTTCTTAGAGTGACACTGTGTATGAAGCTAAGTAAAGAAGATCAATTTGAAAATTAACAGCTTATAATCTAATGATGGGTGATTTTTAACATATAGGAAGTATATTTAAATTGTAAAAATAGTATATATCAAACCCTTAATATTTTACTAGGAATTCTGTATCCTGAATAAAGTAAATAACTGTTGCAATGTAAAAAGTTCAAAGTTGGTGCTAGATATTTAGGCCAAAAATTAAAAAAAATTGACACTTAATGGAAAGACAAGAAAAACTACATGCAGACTACAATGTGGAAAAGGTGAAATGTATCTAAATATGTAGTACCTATCTGTTTTGGGTCACATCTGTTAGTGTGTGTATCTTCGTAATTGGATCAGTCATACTTCAGCAAATATTTCTCTGATTAGGATATACTTTAGCATTCCCATATTGTCATTTATACTATAGCTTTATTTGTCTATCACTTATGTGTTATGCGTTTTGTATTTGGCTTTTTTATCTAAAATATCAATATTCATCAGAAAGGAGAAAACATTAATTTATACTTTTTTTTTAGATGGTTAATTTGATAATCAAAGCTCATCTTATATCTGCAGATATTTTTTACTGGATTAAATTTTACTCTTTCCACATTCAGTCTTGTATTTTTAGCCATTCTCCATCAATTAACAACTAAGATTGTTGTTAAATTTCTCTAACAGAAAAAGAAGGTATTTTAAGTGATTTGAATGTAAATGTTGTTGTAATGCTAAAGTGTTAAATTGATAAAGCAAAATTTCTTCTTTTTTTTCTGCTTAATAAACTTAATGTAACTTAACTAAGAACAAATCCCAGAGTTCCACTGTGGTTTGACATTGATAAGTATTTGATTTGGGTTGATTAGTTTCTATAATTATTACTACCTCACTGCTCCTTATCTATTACAAGGTGGAGGGTGATCTCGATAAAGTAAAAAATGCTTCAAGCCAGTCAGAGTTGATGGAAATGTTCCGAAGATTTGGAAAGAATACAAATGATCTGATTCAGCAAGCAGCAAAGAGACAAGCTGTACGTGAATGTTTCACTTTATTTTCTTATAACATTCTGTGTTTTCAACCTTGATTAATAGTTATTAATATCTTACTCAAACATGTGAGACAATTTTAGAGAAAATGTGACTGCTTTTTGTTGGAGATCAGAAGTACAACTTGTTTCTGGTTTTTGAAATGTATGGTTATTTCTTGACTCAATATATTCAACTTACTGGAAATCTAAAGGTTACTCACAGCACATAATGACAGTCATTGTGGCTTGTGACTATTACTGTTGTAACAATACACCACAATATTAATCCCTTTAGGTACATGTAACATAGCTCCCACAATACTCGAGTTTATGAGTACCAGTTTTCTCCGAAGGATGGGTACTTGTCTACAAGTATGACCAGTGTGCTCAGTTTTTAGCTACGATCACTTGCTGCATGTGTACAGATAAACACGGACCTATCAAAACAATGCCCATTGACGCCAGACCATTGCTGGCATCCATGTGGTGCTGTGCTTTGCATTAAAATGTCATTCCTAAAGGTTTTTGTTATAAACTAGCACAACTGACATGCTATTCAGCTGACAAGCAATTTTAATATCAAGTTTGCTGGTCTTAATCTACTCATTACTCTTAATGAACAAATTACCCTACAAGTTGTCAGTGTTCACAAATTAACTGATTAATGACTCACATGTAACATTGTGAAATTATATACCATAATAGTTTGTAGTTACTACATAAGTTACTCCTATGGATTTATGTGTATAAAAGCATGACTAGAACCATGTTCAATCTTTTCCTAAAGTACATAACTGAATGTGAAGACCAGCTGTTAAAAGAAATCCAAACAGTGCCTAGCATGTGATATGGAAAACAATGTCATTACACATATCCTCTGAAATTTCTGCTACAGAATTGGACATTTTATAATTGTTCTGCTGCTTGTATAACATTTTATGGTTGTTACAGACCTTACTGCAAAGATTGTTCCTGGAAATTTATGGTGGTTACAGCTACACTGTAGAGTTAACATAAGTTTAGGAAAATCTCCGTAGATGAACTCTGTTTACTATCAGGCTAACTTGGTAATATCATAGTAGTGTGATGTAATCCCATTTTCTATACATACTGGATGCCAATAAGTTGTGACTGCATCAAGAAAAAGCACCTGCCAAATCAACTATCACTTCCTCTGCAATATGTTTTTATTATGTTATTTGCTGACATACTAATTAAACCATAGATTGATGTGCCTTTTATCTGCTCCTTGAAAGTTGTTGTCCAAGCACATTTGTTGCAAAACATTTAGAGAGACAAGGGACAACATTCACTTTCAAGTGCACAGCAAAATCCTTCTGCAATGGTATACTGTTTTGCAAAGCAGTTGTCTGTAACCAGGGTTGCCACATAGAACATTGGTGAGTGAAGTAGTGGCTGTAAGGCCTAGGTAATAATGCATGTACACTAATACCTCCCATTGTGTGTTATCAAGAAAATAACTATAGGAATTAGTTATTCATAATGTGAATATTTAATCTTGTTACAAAATATTCCATTACTAATATGTAGATTTTATGATCTCTGTTTAATTGCATTTTCTTCACTAATACCTCCCATAGTGTGTTATCAAGAAAATAACTATAGGAATTAGTTATTCATAATGTGAATATTTAATCTTGTTATAAAATATTCCATTACTAATATGTAGATTTTATGATCTCTGTTTAATTGAATTTTCTCCAGGTTACTGTCAGACACTACTAGTTTGACACTGGAAGTGTTTGTAATCTTGTTTGTAGCATGGTTAGTTTAGTATACAGTATATAGTGACCCCATGCTGGCATTCTAGGGTTAATAAACTTTTACAGCTAAAATATATATGTTTTGCAAACATTTTACTCATTTGTGTGTGTGTATTTAAATATTTTAATGAGAGCTTAAGTAGTAGATTCTTGGTTAAAAAGTGCTTCTTATCTTTGACCTTTCTGTTTTTGAGTATTGGGTCTATTGTGAACCTCCCAGTAGTTTCTGTAAGTCATTTGGAAAATCAATAAGATGTGTGACTGACAGATCAGTAGAAGTATTGTGTAGTGTAAGTCCTGACTTTTATTTTATGACAGGAAAGTGTGTGTATATCAACATAAAAAAATCACTACATGCAACAAAATAAACTTCATTATTACCGGTGTTTGTGCTAGCATTTTGAGTCCCAGGAACCCAACCACATTGAAAAATGGGGTGTCCTTACGTTTTAACACAAAACATCAGAATTTTTTTTATTTCCTCATTCATCAAGACACACAGTTGCGTGTCATGTGGCCAAAACAACCTGCAGGACACATTGTGTGTTATTAACAGGAGTGATAGTTTAGCAATTTTCCACTTTCTGTAGTTCGGACTGTGGTATTCCAAACTGTCACTTATTTTCAGTTGTTGTGCTCTACTGGACTCTTACTTCACGTACCAAATTTCAAGGCAACCCAATTTGAAATATGTGAGATATGAAATCCCCAATTTTGATTGAATTTCTTTCTTCATGCAGAAAGTATGGAAAATTTATTTGATACAATGATAGATCTGTACAGCCTACAATTAGGTATCAAACTTGTTCTAAATATAAGATACATGTGCAAAGTTATTCAACAAAAATTGCTCAATTTTGACCAAATTTTTTGTCCATGCCTACACAAAAAGTCACGTGAGCTATCAGTCTGAAATTTTTACTAGAACTTCACCTAAGAGTAAAACACCTTTACATACAAATAGGACCCTCAGTATTATAGCATTAATTGTAGTGCACATTTGATAACTATTCAATAATGTACTGACTGAATACAAAATATAACTTCAGTATTTTGAGTTTAGTGTAACTGCAGTTCTTATTTTAAGGACTGGGCATAACTCAAAAAAGGTTTTAACTAGTTAGAAGAAGTGTGGAAATTCAAAGAAAACACAATTATAAAGTTTTAACTACCTTAGATAAGTGCAAGACTTCTATAGTTTAAGCTTCTGCTGTAGAGCATTACATAGTTTTAACCTCCTATAACCTTTCCATAGAATGCTTTTATGATTGAAGCTTCTTTAAGAAACTTTTTTTTTAATAATGTAATCACATACATTTGTTATTTTAGGAACTCAAGAATCCTCAGTTACAGGATGACCTTGCTGCAGCTCGAGCTGTGCTAAAGAAAAACAGCATGATGCTTTTAACAGCTTCTAAGGCAAGTCTCTTAAATAGACTGTAGTGTGTAGAAATGCAGAATGTTACATTTTCAACAATCAGTTTGTGTTGTTCTTAAGCCTTAAATACATATTGATACTTTCCTTTCAAGAATATTTTAAAGTAGTGGCTTAGCTGCATGATGTTATGGTTTCCAATATTCTATTCTAATCTCTAACATAAAAATATTATTAAGAAGCTTAAATTTGAATTTTTTCATTTCAACATTTTATTGATTCATTTTGGTTCCATTATTTTAACCCTTCAGTTATTACTTTATTAGGGATGCAATATTTTTTCACAGTCGACTTTTGTCTTTTCTCTTAATCAACCAGGTTTTATTATTATTTATTATTCTCAACTTGCAATCTGTGGGTCACGGGTTTGAATCTCTGTCCCAGGTGTGGAAGTGTTATAATGTGATGGTATATAGTGCATTATCTTGTTGAAAGAATTATATTCTTTTCTTCTATAAATGCATAATGTCAAAATACAACAAATCATTCATTGTCATTTCTTAACTATCACCAGTGAGTCAAATTAAACCATTTAAGTCCAAACCATAACACTACATCCAACACTCTTCACAATAGAAATAAACCCATACCATGGTACTGTATCCAACACTATTCAGTTAAAATAAACCCACACCTTGACACTGTATCCAACACTCTTCATAGTTAAAATAAGCCCACACCTCGACACTGTATCCAACACTCTTCACAGTTAAAATAAACCCACACCTTGACACTGTATTCAACACTCCTCACAGTTAACCCTCTCTCCAAAGGCATCTTTTATTGTGCATGTCACAAGGTTTTAGTGAGTTACATTAGAAATATAATTAAACTTCTTGTTTTTTCCTGTTATAACAATTAGTATAGCATAAAATCATAGATAATAATCCATATTTTAATAGTATACAAGTTTTAAGTTCCTACTTTTATAAGGCAATATTTAAAAAATCTTGAATATCCCGTAGTGTGAGAAATGTGATATTTTTTTCTCCAGGCAACCCCTCTTCTCTAATTTATTTTTCACCACTCCAAGAAGTACAAAATTTAGGTCAATATTTTATATTAACACATTCATTTCTTAAGCACATTATCCACAGTAGACTTCAATATGATTGAATAATGGGCTGTAATATCTTGGACACTAATACCACCAATACTGCACATAGTAGACATTCCTCTGTTTAAATCTTTAGGTTGTTTCCTTGTTGTGCCTTGACTTCAACTGGTTGTCCTTAGCAACTGTTGACCTTTAATAAACCCTATACAGCAGTGTTCCCTGGGATCAGTGATGATTACCAACTAAAGTGTGCTAGTCCAAAGTTTTTGGTATTGTGCATAATAGCATGGAATATAATCAAAATTGTCTTAAGCAACCAGAGTTTTCCAAGATGATACCTCACCTCCGTACACAGAATAGCTTAATTCCTCATGCATCTGCTTATGAAATTTGCATGTCACTAGCCTTGAGCTAACTCCTACTAGAAAATCATGTGTTTAACATAAACTATGCTAATGCATGATGACATCATCATGCACCAAAAGCCCTCCACCAATAGGAGAGCTACACAAACTCCTTGCACAGTAACTCCTCATAAGCACTTGTGCTTGTAAAAACTTTATTCTTAGATGAGGCAGACCTGTTTTTAAACATGTTAATAAATAACGTGAGATTGGCAGAAGTTTACAAAACTTAAAATTTGTTTGCATTAAACTGGTTTTTGCTACAACAGAATATATAAGTTGAAAAAAAAAGTTTTACTGCTTACCTGTGACAAATTCTCAAGTGATGGTACTTTCCACTTCATATCATGTTAGTGATGTTGTTCCCATTCCTATCAAGGGGCCTGTGTCTATAGTGGTTACTGGAACCTTGTTGTCTGTGGTGGACGTGTCAGCCTTTGTTCCACATGTGAGTTCCTTCATGCATACTGGCTCTCCTCCTACTGTCTATTTGGCTTACATACCTTCTCCCCAGATTGAACTTAATTTGGGTGATTATGATTTGACTTGTTGTTTTCCCTACCAGGGTTTGCTCTAGGCACAGCTTTGTCTGTAGTGAGAACTCTTGACTCTTCGTGTCTTTTACTTGACATTAATTTGCAAGTATGTTCTTTTCTTTCTCTATTCCCTTTGTCTTCTGGTTCCTCCTGTATTTTCCAGACTACTTTGTTTCCTTTTTTCACATGACATTAGAGTTTACGGAGGCTTTTTTCTCATTCCACTGGACACCTGTACTAACATAGCCTGCTCAACTATTTGTCCTGGCTTACAGCCATTATTCATTTCCATTCCTTGATTCCAAGTCTTTTGAATCTCTTTTACCTGTTTGAGGTGGGGTAGGTAGACCCCTTAACTCTACTGTTCTTTCTTGTGCTCAATTTGTGCACTTTTGTCTCTCTCTTTTTTTTTTTCTACCTTCCTACTGCATTGCCTCTTGTCACTTCCCTTTATGTCTAAGACACTTCATAGTGCTTCAGGAGAGAATTCTACAGAGAGGTTTGTTCTCTTATTTTCACTAAATTGGCCCATACTGCTACTTCTGTTCAATCCCTCCTTACATGGTTCCTATGCTGTTGAGATTTGATGCTCTCCTAACCAATGTACATCTCCCTCACACTCATATCTGTGATCATCCTCGGCTCTCTCTTTCTTTGTCCAGAGGTTTTTCGAGGTGTTCCTGACTCACTGTAGACCCAGACTGTTGCAACCTATCATCAGTCCTCCTTGTCTACTACAGTTTCTCATCTTTCTCTACCTTGACGTACTATTCCTATTCATAGGCTTGTTAAATCCACATCTCATGTTTCCAGCCTTCTTCTACTTTCTGTTCTCCCACTGACCATTGTCATGTTCGTCACTCTTTTTGTTGATCACTACATTATCAGATGGCTTTCTGGCTTTCTTCCTTAGCCTTTGGTCTCCAATTTTGTTCAAAAGATGTACTATTCAGGTTCTCACCCACAGCTACCTTTCCCCTTCTCCTCCCCTTACACCTTTTTTCATTTCCTTTCCTCCAACCTCCTTTATCTGCAGTGTCTTGTAGATGTGGTCTCAGATCTCTTTCCCAAGAGCACCATTGTGAGGGTATTTACTCCTCCATCTGGTTAATTCTCTCATCTTACAGTTCTGTGTTCTTTCTTTTACTTTGCATCTGCACCTCTTGTCTTTACTCAAGTCATGGGGGCATTTATCCACCATGTTCTTGGATCAAAGCTGAAGTTTCATTTTACTTGGAATATTGGCTTATCCTCACACCCTTCTTGGGAGGACTTCTCTCATACCTGCATTCTTCTGCAGGAGGCTGCTTAGCTGGGCTAGCTTTTTAAGGCTTCCACATCTTTTACATTCTCATCCTATGTTCATCTCTCATCTTATTCAGCCTTCATCACTTCACTTATGAGAGATAAAAAATATTGTGTCTCTTTTCACTTTGCATATGAGGTTCTTGTGCTTTTGGTATCTGTCTTTCCTTGTACCACTCATTCATTTCAGCCATACACATTGGGGCTTCCTTCAGTGGATGCTGCAGATTTGGTGTGACCTTTCTTAAGATTCATTGCCCTTGATTTTTAACCTCCCTTCTTCTTTTCCCAAGGTTTTACCTTGGCAGCTCGACTGTTCCAAGTCCACTCTCTTTCACTGTACTTACTTCCTCCTCTATCTGGATCAGATGTTTCTTCCTTAACACTTTGAAAGATTGGGAGGGCTTGTTTTTTCACATTTTGTCACATCAGATTCTTCAACTGTCTCACTCTTTTTTGTCTTATTTTCACCAAACCTAGGATGAGAACCTTTAGGCTGTTGGTGGATAAATTTGCATCCATCCATCTACCTTTATCTTGTTTGGCCCTTTCATCTCCTGCATGGTTTTGACTCCCTCAGGTTACAGTTCTTCCATATGTCTACATACCTTCTTTGAGAAAGATAAGTAAATATTTCTTTTTTAGTGCCCTTTTTTCTATCCCATTCCTGTTGTCCTCCAACTCTGGCCATCTATCAACTAAACTGTTGGTTTGTTTGAAGTTGGCTCATCTGATTCTCTGGTACTCCGAATCATCCCCTGGGGTGGTGTACCTTGAAGAGTTCCTTGCTGTTATGCACAGCACTTGTGAGAAATAGATCAAGAGTCTACACTTCTTGGGAGCTCATTTAGGTTTAATTTTTGCACTGGCCTGTCTGCCACTTCAGTGTTGTCTCCCAAGGTATTCTTATTTTCTAAAATCTGCATCAGGCCAGGAGTAATGTAAAGTGCTCAGCTCATCCACCCTGGCTCTACCAGTGTAGTGTTCACTGTTGAGATGGGGTATCTTGCATGGGGTATGCTCATGGTATTCACACTACTCAGTTGTCTGATTTAGACCATAACTTTCCTTGGACTAGCATGAAAATAGCTACCACCAGGGAAGTGTCTGCTCACTTCTTTGGCTTTTGCTTGCCAGCTTTTAAAAATAGGGTTTTGTGGTCATCTATTGCACTGTCTCCAGTGAAATGCCTTACTGACAGGCATCCAATGGGGATCTCGTTACTACTTAACAGTTACTAGTTACTGTGCAAGGAGCTTGTGTTGCCCTCCTATTGATGGAGGGCTATCACAAAATGAAGGTGTCAACATGCACTATTGCAGTTCACGTTAAACATGATTTTTAGCTGGGAGTTAGCTCAACGATAGTATCATAGTCTGACATGCGAGGAATGAAGCTGCTCTGTGTCAAGAGGTATCTTTCTAAAATACATTTTCAGGTAAGAAAAATGTCAACTTTTGATACATGTTTGTACTATAATTGATTTGATAGAAATTACCTTGAATCTGAATTTTCTCTTCTAGTAATTATGTTGTTTATAATACAGAAAATAAACACATCATATAATAATAATAATAATTCATATACTTAAAAAAAATTTTATTCATTAGCTCACTGTAAGTAAATTGTAAAATTGTTGTCTTTCTAGGTATATGTAAGACATCCAGAGCTTTCTGCAGCTAAAGAGAATAGAGACTTCATCTACAAACAGGTTTGTGAAGCTGTCAACACTATTAGTGACATTGCTCAAGGAAAGACTTCTGGCAGTGCTCTCGGTGATCTTCCTTACAAAGGTGCAGGTGAACTAGCAGCAGCCTTGGATGATTTTGATGTATGTAGCTCTCACATGATTTGTAAAATAACTAAAATAATTTTCTTAACATTTGTATTATTTATGTAGCTCTCACACAATTTCTAAAATAGCTAAAATAATTTTCTTAACATTTGTATCATTTACATTATGTAGCTCTCACACGATTTCTAAAATAGCTAAAATAATTTTCTTAACATTTGTATTATTTTTGTAGCTTTCACACGATTTGCAAAATAGCTAAAAAAAAACTTTCTGTATTCATTTTCCAGCTAGTAACAAACTGAAGTGTCTGAACTCAAAGTTTTGAGTAATCTTAAATAAGTATGGTTAAACTTTTGTAACATAAATAGTTACATGATGATAATGTATACTTTCCCTGTACCTCATAAGTCTGCACTATTTATTGAATTCCTGTGTTTTGTGTACATTTACTAATATTTTACAAATTGTTAGAAGAAAATGTTGTTCTTTTTTTTTCAAGTTTTTGTTTTGTATTATTGGACAACATTACTAGGTTAATTCTGGATGACTTTTTAAATACAACATGGTGAAAGAAATTGTACCTTTCAAGTTTATAACATTTAACTTTATACAAAAATGTCATTGTTTAAAGCAAAAAGATACAATTGATAGTTAAGTAGGTTTCTCTTCTGTTCGAAGTGCTCTTTTTATTCCTATTTTAAAACTAATGGTGACCAACAAGATGTTGAAAGCAACCTGTGATATTGATCCCTAATTATGACCAAGAAAATTCAATGAAACTGATTAAAATGTAATCACTCAAACAAGATAAAGGTTGGTGAATTAGGTAGTTTCTATGTGGAAGATAAGGACTTGAATACCCCGCAATAACTTAAATAGAACAGCATGAACACATTTTATACCTATGTTTTTATAATTGTAAGAAAACTTCGATTCAGGATGGTCAAAATACAAAGAATGAAATTGGTTGAGTTTCAGTTTTTTCTCAGTGTTACGTATTTTATGTTGGAAGGCAAAAAAAACGAGTACATATTAATAACAAAATATATACTTACAGTAGCAAGATTATATATATGGTATTTTGAATTTCTTACATATTGTTTTAATGCTTACGTTTTGTGGTATTTTTTGACTTGCATGAGGAGTCGTTTGAAAAATATATATAGATAATAAATATATTGTATATGAGTTGGTTTAAGTGTCAGATTTTAGAACATGTTCTGATTTACCAAAATGTAGATTAATAATAAAACTTTTCAGTTCTAGTTACTGTAGCAGTTTTATTTTCAATCATCAGAAATGCCAACAATGAAGTGTGATTCGTTGTTTTGGCTTCAAGTAGTTTTGATCTATGTTTCATTAAAATACAATTAATGCTCAGTACACTTGATAAACAACTATTGTGTAATTTTATTATTAAATGTCATCCTTTACCCAGCAAAAAAAAAAGATTGGAAAACTATAAATGTGTTAAAATATTTCTTTTTAAGTTTTTGTTCCTAGAACTGTCATCGTGTTAACTGAACAGTATAAAAGAGGTAGAAACTCAAGTGTTTAACTTGTGATAGCTAACGTCATGGAAGTGTGTTCTTACCTGTATCACTTATTTTTTAGTATCTACGTATTGTTGATAGCTAACATCATGGGAAGTGTGTTCTGTATCACTTGTTTTTAGTATCTACGTATTGTTGATAGCTAACGTCATGGGAAGTGTGTTATGTATCGCTTGTTTTTAGTATATACGTATTGTTGATA